GCAATTGGTAAATCTGAACCTACTGGTCCTTGTGACAATACAGTGCCAATAGCATAATTTGATGCGTCTGTAGTTAATAAAAATGGTTTATTGAAATCAGGGTGTTGTAAAATAGGATCATTGATTAATAAGTTTTTACAAGTTTCAAAACTTTTTAGAAATTCAGAATCGTGAATTACTTTTTTATCATTTTTTAAACAAATTGTCATTGGTTTTGTGATTTTAGCGAAGTTTTTTATAAACTTTCGATAATACCCTATCAATCCAAGAAATGATTTAATTTCTTTTACGGTTTTTGGGATTGGAAATTTCCTTATTGCTTCGATTTTCTTTGGGTTTGGTTTAATACCATTTGGGGTTATGACATGTCCCAAGAATTCTACTGTTCTAATCTTTCAAATATCTTTTTAAGATTTGCAATATGTTCTTGAAGAGAAGTGGAAAATATAATAATATCATCCATGTAAACTAGACATATTTTGTTTTGTAAACCTATTAGTACGTTGTCCATAACTCTTTGAAATGTGGCAGGGGCATTTTTTAAACCAAAGGGCATACGGTTAAATTCGTAATGTCCATTTTCTACATTGAAAGCTGTTTTGCTTATTGAGTTTGGATGCATTTCAACTTGGTGGAATCCAGAAGCTAAGTCTAGAGTAGTAAAATAATTACTTCTTCCAAGTCTGTCAAGAATGTCTGTTATGTTTGGTAATGGGTATCGATCGTCTGTCGTTTTTTCATTGATTTTTCTATAATCTACGACCATTCGCCATTTCTTTATGCCTGAAGTATCTAACTTTTTAGGTACAATCCAGACAGGAGATGACCAGGGACTACATAATGGTCGAATAATGTTATCTTCTAACATTTTCTGGATTTGTTTATTCACTTCTTGTTTATGAATATGTGGGTATCTATACGTCTTTGTGTGAACTGGGATTTCGTCTTTGGTCATAATTTCGTGTTTAACTTGATTTGTCAATGATAATTTATCATTGGGTTTATGAAAGACTCTAGGAAACGAATTTACAAGTTTTTGTAAAGCTTTTACTTCTTCTAAGTTTAAATGATCAGTTCTTAAAAGGTTTAAGGACGTTTTTTTATAAGGTTTGTCTTAATAGTCATTAGTGTTTTGGGTAATTATCTGTTCTGCATTAAACAATTGATAATTCTCTTCTTCAAAAGGTTCACATATTTCTTGAATATCATCAATATGACAATCTAATGTGTGGATTTTGTCTTTTAAATTATAAACATCAAGTGGTATTTTACCATTTTTAATTGTATTAATAGTTGATGGAATATAATAATTTTGATCTTCTACAATGTCAGTTATTATTTTAGTTCCGTCTGGAATTCTTGTGAGAAATTCACATTTTTGAACTGCGTTAGGGGAAATTTCGATAGTTTGATTTTCAAAGTCACTTCTAAATTGAAATGGTATACATGTTTGATCATTTACAAGACACATATTTTCAAAATCGATATTAAGTTTGTTATCATATAGAGCTTTGATTCCTATAATTCCATCGAAATAATCATGAAATGAATACATGAGCATTTCTACTTCATTTATGTCATATTCTTGTAAAATTGGAATTTTAAGTTTTCCTTTAATTATTGTGGTTGTTCCCGTACATGTGGATAGTTTAGATTTTGTATTAGTAATGTACTGATTAAAGTATTTTTCAGCTATGGAAGGTCTTATTAGTGAGGCATGACTTCCGGTATCAATTAATAATTTACAAGGTGGAAATTGAATTTCTATAAAAGGTAATTGATTAATTTGGAATTCATTTGAAGTTAATGCTGATCCGAGGCTTTTAAACAAAAATTTTCGGATTCATCAATTTGTTGTCCAGGATTTTCAAAATCTTGATATTCATATTCACTTTGATTTTCTTGATTTTCACCAGAAGAAGAATTTTGTTCAACTGGAATTAATTGTAAAATATTATTTTCTTCTTTAATTGTGTATTGAACAGGTCTTTTTTGGAAATTTTGTTTAAATGCGTGAGTGCGAGGTTGCACTGAAATTCCGGACATAGGTGTCGGTTTTGGAAATTGTTGGTTTGTATTTTTCTTAAATACATTGGATTGTTTATTATAGTTTTTTCCAAAAGTTTGTGAACTAGTTGGGAATTTCTGTTGATAATTCGCTCTTGGCTGAATGTTTATAGCTTGTGAGGGAAATTGTGATTGTTGAAATTGTTTCTGTGGAAACTGCGTTTGCACAAATTGTCTTTGAGGGAATTGTGTTTTCTGTTTTGAATTAGTGTATGGAGTGTGTGTATTATTATTTTTATTAATTGAATTATTAAATTTCATATGGTTTTCAGCTAATTGATAATTTAATACGCAACCTGTAGCTGCATCTAAAGTTAGTGGATTTTGCACCATTAAAATTGTTCTTAATTCAGCAGGAGAGTTTGTGACTAAATTTTGGATTGCCATTATTTCATTTTGGTCTACCAAAACATTTGCTACTGCAACTAAATTTTGATCACTCATTATCTTAGAAGTTATTCTATGATTTAAACTTTTTAATCTCTCTAAATAATCAAAAATATTCTCTTTAATATTTCGAGTAGTATACATTAATTCTTGTACTGAGTTTTGTCTAGAATATGGGTGTCCATATTTTAATCTTAAAGCGTTCTTTATATCAATCCATGATTTTAAGTCAGGACGTGACATAAGGAAGTTTCCTGCTTCATTAATTAAGTTTGATTTAATCGCTGTTATAACATATTCTATCTGTGCATTTTCCCCAGTATAATATGTAGTATAAAATTCTTCGATATTACTGATAAAATATTCTAAGTATTGTGTTTCGCCACCAAAAGGCTTAAGTAATTGTACAATAGATTTCAAATTATCACCCATGGTTCTTGGTTGATGATTATTATTTCTTAACGAATTATTAGTACTTGGATTATATAAATGAGTTAAGTTAAATTGGATTAAGAGGTTCTGTATTTCCTCTTCAGAATCTGACATGTCTTTTTTGAATTATATGCTTATTTATAGATAGAAAAATAAAAAATACTTTCTCCAAAAATTTATTATTTTTTTCTGAAAATTAAAAAATTGGAAAAAATTATTGATAATAGAAAATTAAGAATAGTTTTCTCAAAAAAATCTATTATTATTATTATTATTATTTTTTTGAAAATTAAAAATCAAAAAAATTCAAAAATTCAAAAAAATTCAAAAATTCAAAATTGGGTATTAGTAATTCATAATTTATGGAAATAAATCGTATTCAGTTATCAATTATATTTTTAAAATAAATTATTCATTTAATCGTTAATAATATTTTTAAGATTAATTACTTAGTTATCAATAATTATATGTCTCTTTTAAATTACGTATTTATTTAATCGTTAATTATATTTTTAAAATTAAATTCTACTTTTTAAAATTATTCATTTAATCTAACTTTTACTTTCTTAAAATTAAAAAAATCAAAAAAATTCAAAATTAGAATTTTTATGTTTCGCTTAAAATTAAAAATCAAAAAAAAATCAGAAATTTAATTTTTTTCTTTAAAGATTCAAAATTGAAGCTTAGAGGCTTGTTAGGTTATTCAGTTATTTGAAAGTTAAAGTTGGAAAAATAAAAAGATTGGATATTTTATTTTTTCTCAAAAAATTAAAGGTTTCAATTTATTATTCAGTTTCTTGAAAATAAAAATAAAAAAATTGGAAATTTTATTTGTTTTCCTTGAAAAATTTTCTAAGTCTAAAATCAATCAGTTTCTCGAAAATTGAAAATAAAATATGAAAAAATTGGAATTTTTTTCTCTAAAACATTTAGAAATTAAAGCTTTTAATTAACTATTCAGTTTCCTGAAGTTTAAAAATTAAAAATTGGAAATTTATTTTTTTCGTAAAAAATCAAAAATTAAAGTCATAAATTTATTATTCAGTCTCGTAGGTTACTTGCTTAAAATTATTTTATTTGTATTTGGTCTCAATGCCAAAACAAATTGAAATTGAAAAATTTTTTATGATAAAAAAAGAAAAAAAAAAGAAATTTTTCAAAAGAACTTAATTATGAAACACCAATTACAAAATACAATTTATAGGAAAAAGGAATAACTTACAAGGCACGATGCTTGGTAACTGTAACACTGTAATTTTGTACGTTGGATCTTGTTGTTTCTTTTCTTCAGTAAATTTTTTCGAAAAGTGGAACGAATTGGATTAAACTTTTTCGAAAATTCAATCTCTGGACTCTATAGCACTCTGAAGAACATCCGCACCGACTTGCGCCAATTATATTTTCGATTCAGAAACTTGTATTTTTAAAAAAACATTTATTTTATTAATTAAAATACAATAGTGACAATCGAAAAATATGTGGATCAAATTGCTACAGGGAGTGCCTGAAAACAAATGAACGCTCCTTAGAGGAAAGCTCTGGCTTAAATAATAAATATTTGCTGATCCAAGCATTTTCCTAGGCAGGTGGTGGTACAACCAGTGCAGTACCGCTGATTAAGCAGTTTTATATATTTATTAGTATTAACATAGGCGTACGCTTATAATTATCATAGGAAAGGAGAATTATTAGTATAAAGATAACATAGGGTCTTACAATATAACTTTTATAAGAGATTTTCTGATATATACTATGTGACAAAAAAAAAACGCATCACTCAAAAGTGTATATTTTTTTTTTAACATATTTTCTTGGTATATACAAAATAGGTAACAAAAATAATGCATCTCCCACCAAAAGTGTATATTTTTTGTACAAATTTTTTGGTCTTGGTCAAAACTAATGTAAATTTCGTGGGTGATGCGTTTTTTTTTGTCATTCAGTATAGTTGATCCAAAACTAAATCCTTTTTAATTTTGGATCAACTATATGTAAGTACATAATATTCTCTACTTTGAAAAGTGGATGGAGTCTGGTTCCTAATTTGGCCGGTTAACTGTAATTAATGTAGTTTCACAGTATGCCCACAGTATGCCAGTATGCCCCGCTTTTCCCTATTCCTCAACTATTTCTGGAAGCATCTGGTCCAGGTAAAAGGATTTAAGCTTCGGCAGCATAACATTAGTCCAGAAGTCATCTTGTTCAATCTGAATAAATAATAAAAACATTAGAAATAAAAATATAAAATATTGGGGTACTATTAGTTACCTCTTCAACAGCAATTCCAAGAGGGGTCCAAACTATAAAGTAACATATTTTGGCATTTGCTATTGCAAGTTGACCTTGCACCTGGTAATAATAATTGCAATTTTTTTTCAATTTCACCTTATTTTCTTCTTCGTTGAGCTCCACATATTTAATTTTCTTCTTATTCACAGCATCCTCTGGAGAATATTTGTTTGCAGAATACGGACATTTCACCTCGATGATCATATCTGCATCAATAATGCCATCAAAGCTAGCTCCTGACTAGGGATATTCGTGGGATACGAACAAACCACAGTGTTTAACGGTTTGAACATAGAGTTTCCTAAACTCTTCTATAGCGATAGATTCATGGTCTTTCCCCCACTGTGTTCTTACCGATCCTTTGAACTGAGATTTGAGAATTCTCAAAACAAGATTAAAGGGGTTTGTCGATTTACGTTGCTTACAGACTTCGCCAAAATGTGAAGCTGTCAACCTGAAGGACCTCTCCTTCATCCAGACGGGATTTGAAGATTGTCCCCTAGTCTTTTCTCCCAGGTCTCCTTCAGCTGCTGCCTTCGACAAAAATTACATAAAATTATCTTTTTTGTTTTAAAGCTCATTTTCATCAACTTCTATTGTTTCTGTTTCTCTTCCATAATCGATATCGGCAGGCGCTGACATTGAGCAGCTCTGAGTAACTCAACGGGTAAAAGGAATACAGTAATAATGTACCATACCATATTATATGTCATGTCGTAACCATAATGAAATAAGTCACTTCATAAATAGCGGGATAAAATTGGGTCATTTCATGTACAGGGTGATCTATTAGAAATGTCGCCCCCTCCTAACTTTATCATTTGACGTTTTTGAACAAAGGGTCAAATACAAAAAAAAAATTGTCAAAAGTTTTTACCTAACGGGTGAATTCTGTGCACATCTGTAAGCAAATCGGGTGTTTGGCAATTGACGCGTCATGTATAAGCTTATAGAAAGTTATAGATTTGTTCACAGATGTGCACAGAATTGACCCGTAAGTCAGTTTTGAGCATACAGGGTGCGTCAAAAAAGTGTAGCAGAGCGAAGTTATATTTTCGTAAATATTAATTAAATAAATATTATTCAATACATATCTTATTATAACTATACCAAGCGAGATTCTCTCTACCTGAACCCCACCTACGCCCCCAGGTCACGCTCCTGTTGTGATGTCCCAGGTCGAAAGGTATAGGGGTTGTCACATATTTGGTGGAGGTGCCGTTTCGACACCCAGGCACCAGGACCCAGAAACAGCAGTACAGAAGATTTCAATAAAGCAGAATCTTGACGTCACCATATTGGAAAAAAAAACAGGGCACAAAATAAAATATATATAATTAAAAACAAATTGTAGTGACCCAGATAATTAGAAGCAGACATGCTGACGACGAATTGTTTATAAAACTAGGTCACTAAGCAAGAAGCACGGACAGCGAGCAGCAGAAGATTCCTGATATAGTGGCGAAGGCGTTTCTTATTGAACCACAAGGACAACCACAGAGAACACCTTTTTGTCTTGAAACTGTAACTAGTACCTATATGCGGAGGAGGTTTTCTATTGGACGTATTTGACGATCCCTCAACCATTACCCTTCAAGAGCCGCTAGTCAACCAACCGCCAGAAGTTGCAAATTAAGAACGGGAAACGAGCCCTGTGCAAGAAACTAGCCCCGAAAGACCGAGATCTACCACACCAACGCGAACAATGGCCAATATAACAATAAGTGATGCAATGTTAACGGCAAAAAAGGCGAAGGTACCAGAGTTCATCCATCCATGCAAATCCAGGGCCACTGAATTTTTAAGGACCTATGAAAGAACGGCTATAGCAAACGGATGGGACGAAAAATTAAAAATTGCATATTTTGAAACTTTCCTGGACGGAGCAGCCAACCTGTGGTTCCAACAATATAAACAGGATAACAATGATCATGGATGGAAAGAGATCATGGAGAAATTCAGAAAATAATTTGAACATGTAGATTATCACAGAAACCTAAAAAAGAAAGTGGAAAGCAGAAAACAAGGAACAAATGAAACGGTAAAGGAGTACCTTTTTGAGCTTCTGGTACTGTTCCACGACTGTAAGGAAAATATGGATATTGAAGAGTTTATTTTCTACTTAACTATTAAAGATCCATAATATGATAATACCTAGGAAACGAAATAAGTTAATATACCTATAACGCCCGCTTATAATACCCTGAGGTGTTTTTGTTGTCGTTGTTTTAATAATTTGCACTTTACCCTAGGCAGACACTAAATGCAAGACCAAATAGATATTTATGTATCAAGGGTACTAAGTAGATGATTATGCCCTGAGGGCGACAGTTTTACAAAGCCGAGGGCTTCTGGCCCGAGGGTTCGTAAGTCGCCCGAGGGTATATATATCTATTAGTACCCGTGATGCATACAAACTTTTATGTCATACCAGTTGGTTGTGAATAATAAATACCTGGGAGAAAAGTGTCACTTCGCAAATTGTCATCAGAGTGCAAACATCATCATTTTTTGACAAAAATAATATGTTTATAAGCGTAAATTTATATTTTGTTAATAAAAAATAAGTTAATTGAAAACTGTTTTTTGCGCCTTTATGCCCGCGCGGGCCAAAATGTGTACTTTATGCCCGCACGGGCATAAAGTAATGAATTATGTAGATGGTATCTAATGTATTGGTATGACATAAAATAATTTTCGGTCTGACCAGAATTCGAACCCGGTCTACCAGCAACGTTTTCCATGTAGTCAAGCCCGTTAACACACACGAACACTGTTGCCTTGCCTTATGAGATGTTTATAGGTATAATAGGCGAAATATATCCCTCGGGCCAGGGGCCTCCGGGCTAGTTTCGTCTTCTGGGCATTATAATCTTCATAATCCCCTGGGTACATAAATAGCTATTACAAAAATCTTTACCAAAGGATTGACAGAAGAAAGCTTCTCCCACTATTATTGGTTTACGAGTCCACCGAATAACCCTCCGCAGACACAGGATAAGATAAAAGACATCGTAGATAGGGCGCCAAAGAAAAAAGAACATAAAGCCTCACCGGTAAACGAGACTCTAGAGACAGATACACCGCCAAATAGGTATAACAGCAGATCTGGGCAGTAATTGCCTTGAAAGTGCAAAGTGCTTGGTAATTGGTAATTGATTTTCGCATTTCAAGCCATTTGACTTGCAAGCACTAAAAATCAAGTCCTTAGTAACAATTTAACGCAGCATAAGCTTTAATGTGATTGGCTGGTTGAAGGCCGTCTCGGCATCGGCAATATAAAAAAAATTGTGTTGTGTGTTGTTTTAAGGTGATTTCCCACGACCCGTGATATCGCAAGCTGGATTGCGCCGTCCTTCCCATGGAACGTCGGCGCGTGTCAGCGCGGCCCGGCCTGCGATATCACGGGCCGTGGGAAGCCAGCTTTATAGTTGAGTTATTGGTTCAATATCAGTTCTCTTCTTTTACCCGTCGTATGCTGATTTGCGATTGCCAGTGTCACTATACTACCACAGTTTATTAAAGTTTTTATCTTTAGTTCGGTGATAAGGTGTAGTGTATGTAGAGTGAAGAGATGAAAACTAGTAACAAATTAAGAACAAAAAACTTTGGTTTGATCATTTTATTATAACTATCAAAATATCAACATCAACCAAAAACGTTAAAACTTATTACGTTTCAAATTGCTTCCTCCCCAGACATCAATTGACAGAGTAGTGCTTGGTAATTTATTTGAGATAAAATTGCTTGCAAGCACCTGCAAGTAATCAACAATGATTTCAAGCACTTTCTGAGTAATTGGTGCTTGGTAATTGAATTTTGCAATTACTTTCCTTGGTAATTGGTAATTGCAAGCACTAAGAATTTCCAAAATGCTTGGTGCTTGATGCTGGCAATTCCTTTTCCTAAGGGCTTGGTGCTTGGTGCTCCAAGTACTTTTTTCGAGTGCTTTCCTCAGCTCTGTATAACACTAATTTTCAAAGATAGCCACATTACGGCCGATTACCGCAAGGACAAATCTGTTATACCTGTGGTAAATTAGGTCATGTAGCAGCGGTTTGCAGAAGCCCACAACAAATAGCTCATTATCGAACAAACCCAAAATGTTTCAATTGTGGCAAAATAGGGCATGTTGCAAAATCATGTAGAAGTACACCACAACAGTCAACTCATTACGACAATCCTGTTCCTGTTTGCCAAAATTGTGGAAAAAAGCGACAGTGTGTAGGGGCCAACCACAGAGGGCCCAAAACTATACGGTACGGAGCAACCGCAGCATACAGTCCTGCATGTCACAACTGTGGAAGACAAGGACATTTGTAGAGGCTCTGGGTGCATGTCTTAAGAACAGTGAAAAACTTCATCCGGTCATTTCGGAAATCTACGACACCTTAAGCGCTCATGATTCCAGGTGGAGCGACTTATCCAAGAAAGTGGATGACATACACAACCACCATTCTGAGTACTCTGAGAGTGGACAACAATCTCTATTCCATTCAATTAGGAAAATGAAACGAGACTTGTCCAACATTTCGTCGATCTTCATGGACGGTCAAGATGAGTCTATAAAGGTTCAGGTACATGACTCTTCAAAAGAAGAGTTAACAAGGGAAATGGCAGATTTGAGGAAATGTGTCAACCAAATGGCGCTCACGTTGGAAAAGTTAGCAGGCAAAGAGAAACCGTCTACTAGGAGCAGCCCGCCACCTGTAAAAAAGTCAATTACAGCGTCGATTTCAACCCAGACCGATAGTGAAGAGACATCCCCTGTTACGCAAGTGGTCATTGATTCCCGAGTCTGTCCCCCACCTCAGAATTCCGCCCTAAAAGAAAACTGGCATTATGTGGTAGTGTCAAAAATCCCCCATCCTTTTACAGCAAAACAGCTTGCTCATTTTGCAAAGGAAAAACTTGGAACCACGGAGTTTATCAGATGCTTTCCAATGCTCCAAAATAAAGACTGCTCTCACACTGATTTCAAAGTTGGTGTTCAAAACAAAAATCACCTAAAGCAGCTTTTGGACAGAAGCATGTGGCCTCCAGGTACGGGTATAGAGACTGCTAATTCATCTGCAACACTTTTAAAGGCATCGCCACCGTCGGCAGCAATTACAGTAGATCCACAGCATCAGTCTCATCACCATTTCAAACCCAACACTGCGGAGGGCCGAAGTAGACCACTAAACTCTGACTCAACCCTGATTAACCCGACTAAGGATGATAAAACTATCAGGATTGGTTCTGACAGGGAGGCTATAGCTGTTTCTAAGTCCCTTGCACTAGACAGCACAAAAATTGTTATGGATACAAGTAGAAAAAAAGATGAATCAATCATGGACCCGATGACTCCACCCATTGTGCGATTATCGTGAGCTTCCGATACAGCTGATGGTCGATATTTATTGGCTAGACTAAGAGACCCTGCCATTCTTAAAGCTCTTAGGCTATTCCTGGCTTATCTCCATGACCAACCATCCACCGTGTGTTTTGATGGGCACACTAACACCAGCATCAAATTAATGTTAGCTTCGGAG